CAGAAAGCAGTCTTCATAACTTTAGTGACTTTACTGGTGATTCGCTTCTCAATAATATTTCTGTAAAACTACAAACAAGAAGAAAAAATATGTATGAGCATCCATGTTCACATTCACATATCCAGCTTAACATTACGGTTTGATTTTGTACATAGTTCCTTTTACATAATTTTAAGTAATATACACAAATAAATTATATTCAAATGAGATTATATTCAAATTATATTCAAACAGAAGATAAATTAGCATGTCAACTCAGTACGCTACAACATAGCACGTTACCAATAACATGAATTAAGAGTGCGTATAACAGAAATATAGCAATCTAATTATCCTTAAACACTTTAAATCACTATTTAGTGTAGAATTTGCACTTACAGACATATATTTCCAAGGTTTAAACGATGAAATCAATAGCCAATAGAAACTGCGTGCACGTTGTTCTTGACTGCGTTCACTGAGGGAAACCGAAAGTAAACTATATAAACATAGTGCAGTACCTTGAATGTCCAGTGGGAGGCGGAAACAAAACACAGCTAGACATAAGTAACAGCACAAGTATACTTTATTATGAGTTTATAGTACCATATTGATTAAGAAATGCACGCACAATTATCCGTGAGCTTGATAAATGTTGCAGATATGTTTTAGGCTACTATCCACAAACAAATTGTTTTCAATGTGTGCAAAATTCAGAATTCAACGAATGCAGTGCAACAACAACAATAGTTAAATTAATATTATTATTATTATTAATAATAATACTTCGCAGTAGTGGTAGGCTAAAGCAGTGCAAGCCAAGTCAAGTAAAACAGAGTTTCTTTGCGTTCATATTCTGGACTTATCTGATTTTTTGTAGTAGGGTATACTTTTTTATGATTTTAGGCTATCATATTGATTAAGAAATGCACACACAATTATCCTTGAACTTGATAAATGTTGCAGATATTTTAGGCTATCCACAAACAAATTGCTTTCAAATGCATGTGCAAAATTCAGAATTCAACGAATGTGCAGCAATTTGTACAAATAGAGACATTTTTGTGTATAAAAGACATTTTTGTTTTATTTTGTATTAGTGATTATAATTTGCGCCTCCATTTATTGACGTATGAGTCGATCTCATTTGAGTGTATTCGGCAATTTGCTTAACGTAGAATTAAACGCGTTGAGTTTATATTCTGAGCTCATCAGATTTTGTTGTAGGCTACATATACTTTATTAGTATGATTATTTACTGTGTTTGGTCTGTTAGTAAATTTGTTAAGGTTTGTATTTATTTCGATATGCCACTAGAGGGAAGAATAAGACCGGGAATTAAATAACGCATTGTGGTTATGTTGACCTACTATGGAAGCCCATTCCTATGGAAGCCCATTCCCGCCACATAAGAAAAAAATTCGAGGATTCTTAAGTCATAATAATGACATAAAAAGTCGAATTTATGACTTACTAAATCGAAATTATGACTTTAAAAGTCATAAGTATGAGATACAAAGTCAAAATTTTGACGTACTAAGTCGAAATTATGACTTACTAAAACGAAATTATGACTTACTAAATCGAAATTATGACTTTAAAAGTCATAAGTATGAGATAAAAGTCGAAATTTTGACATGCCAAATCGAAATTATGAGATTAAAAAAATCGAAATTATGACTTTAAAAATAGAAATTATGACTTTCCGACTGGCAAAATTGCATTGTTCTGACGCGACCCGACACATGATGAGTTATGAACAGATTAAGGAGTATTTCACCTCTGCACTGCAAAGATGGATTTTGATTGAATGAATGAATTTGACTGGTAACAGTGGTACTGTATAATTATTGTATAATTAAGTATTTTATACTATAAATAAGTATAATTACTGTATGTTAGTATTTGACATAAAAGGTGATGCATAACTCTAAATAAGTTTAGAAAGTATGCCCATATATAGGTGAAAATGCCCCTGGAAATCAATTTAAGGTGGCAAATATTGCCCCTTAATTAAAAAAATAATTTCTGTCACTGCTGTGAACTGACCACTGCATAGAATATGAAAAATATGAATATCTTTGTGAGTCAGCTGTCAACAGGCCTAAACCAGCCATGGCACCAGCACAAAAACACAATCAGTAAAATATCATCTAATTATTATCAACAAAACGTTGAAAATATTGAGATGTATTTTTGTCAATATTGCACACCCCTAATGTACGGTATTAATTTTGATTTCTTCAGGTCTTAAAAAGCCTTAAATTTGACTTTAAAAAGTGTGCAGGAACCCTGTAAACGGTTAGACGTAGTTACCTAGCAAGTCAGTTGTTTTCAGTAAATGAATTAATAAGCTTCTTGGTCCCCATTGCTTTTGCTCTATTGTTCTCACCAAAATAAAGAGAAAGAAGGACATCATGTCAATTTCAGTTACTGTGACGGACTAATACTGAATATGTAATGCAAACGTAAAAATATAATGGAAATGCAAATACATTGTTGAATGATGATAATAAACATGGTATTTTGCCTGTTAATGCCTGCAGTGCAGTGCAGAAAATGATATGACAACAATAAGGTCTAAATCTGGCCCCTCTAACAGTACAACTGGCCCCAGCTTGGCCCCCCCAGTTGAAATGGTCTAGAACCGCCACTGGAAATAGTCCTTAATCTGTTCATAATTCATCATGTGTCGGGTCGCATCAGAACAATGAGAGTGCCAGTCGGAAAGTCATAATTTCGATTTTTAAAGTCATAATTTCTATTTTTTTAATCTCATAATTTCGATTTGACATGTCAAAATTTCGACTTTTTATCTCATACTTATAACTTTTAATGTCAAAATTTCGATTTAGTAAGTCATAATTTCGATTTAGTATGTCATAATTTCGATTTAGTAAATCATAATTTCTACTTAGTATGTCAAAATTTTGACTTTGTATCTCATATTTATGACTTTTAAAGTCATAATTTCGATTTAGTAAGTCATGAATTCGACTTTTTATGTCATAATTATGACTTAAGAATGCTCGAATTTTTTTCTTATGTGGCGGGAATGGGCTTCCATAGGGAATGGGATTCCATACTTCCATACTTCCGTAGTATGGTGTCCTTTAAATCTGTTAAAAATAAAATCTTTGATTCCCTCTATCTCCTCTAAAAGGACATCCATTTTATTTTTTTGAAAGGTATCTTTTATTTTTTTTGTTTGTCAGCCTGTATAGGTGCTTTATATCTATGTAGACTTGTCTTGATTTCTAATCCACAACAAATGACGATTATTAGTTTAAACGTTCAGAATACGATTCTATAAGGTTATATTTCAGCACTTCGCGAATGGACAGCGACGCTTAATGGTGTGTTCACACCGAACGCGAATTTAATTATTTGCACGAATAGATTACATACAAAGTCAATGCAAAGACGCGAATAGACGCATAATTCGCGCCGGGCGTCGCGAATGACGCGAATTGGGCGATGCGTTTGCCGCGAACGTCTTCCGCGCAAGTTGAAAAATTTGAACTTGACCGGAGATTTGCATGACGCTTTGTTGCGCCAGCCAATCAACGAAGAGCTAATTGATACGTCCGGTCTATCACTGTTGTCGAATATGGAGGAGATGCTAATTGTTGCCGTCTGTGGGTACCCTGAAATATACGATACTACGTCGTATGCTTACAGAGACCGGGAAAAAGGGAAATAGCTTGGAGAAAAATAAGAGGAAGTTGGACTACCTGAGTGATTAAAATATACACAGATGGTGCTGTGAACCCAGACACGACGGCGTTTGGCTTTCCTCCGTTAATTACACGTTAATGTTGTGATTAGTAGGTAATTAGTCATTATTTATAATTTGTCATAATTACCTATTAATGATGCCAATTTCATTAAGTAATTATTGATTAGCCTACCTAATAAGGAACTATCTTAGTCCTAAATTCAATATTACTTACTGGTTTGTGTATCTTTTGGTCATTTGATTTCCTGTTTGGAATGGAATAATGAGAAATGAAAACCAGCTCGTTTATTCGTTTTTTTGTTTAGTTTAAAAAACGAAAAATTAGATTCTGGCTCGATTTTTCATTTTTCCTTTGTGGTTTACAAATCGGTTTATGGGTTCGTTATTTCATTTGCACACGTGGGCGGCGCTGAAACGCCCCTTTCATCTGATTGGTCAAACCGCTCCGCCTTCAGTACGAGCTTTTCTTTCTGTCAGGCAGAATAAGTGTCACGAGTGCGGTACTGACAAATGCACTTTAATAAAACAATGTCTGAAACCACCACTCACTGTTAATACGCAAAATATTTGAAGCAGAAATATGTTGCTGGTCACATAACTCGTGCTGCTGCGACTTGCAAGCGACCCCAGTAATGTGAGCCACAGTAGGCCTACATATGACAGATTATTTTAGCATGATGTATTTCCCATTGATAAATACAGTGCAAATAGTTCAGTCTCTTTGGATAAAAGGGAAGTGGAAATAAAAATCAATAATAGGCTGAACTGTAACATGATAATTTTTCGAAATTTAATTTTTCGTTTTTTAAACTAAACAAAAAAATAAAAATGAACAAACGAGCTGGTTTTCATTTCTCGTTATTCCATTCCAAACAGGAAATCAAATGACCAAAAGATACACGGACCCTTACTAATCAGTTAAGTTTGTTTCCATATTAGTTAATACAGTGGTTTTCAAACCTTTCCTGGAGGACCCCCAACACTGCACGTTTTCTTTGTCTCCTTAATTAAACACACCTGATTCAACTCATCGGCTCATTATCACATGGGTTAATGAGCTGATGAGTTGAATGTTTGATTAGGGAGACAATAAAAAAACGTGCAGTGTTGGGGGTCCTCCAGGACAGGTTTGAAAACCACTGCTCTATATCATTGACTGACATTTTTTTACTGAATTTTGAATTCAAACCAACAAAGTGACTTTTTAAAATAGTTATTATCATTTACATATAGAGTTACACATTTTAATTGTTACTTTCTTCTTTCTTTCTCATTTTTACAGCCATGGCAATAAACAGATGTTCTCCTGTCATGGCATTCAGCTTGCAGTTGATTGGTTTCTTGAACGTGGCCATCAAGACATTACAGTTTTTGTGCCAGCCTGGAGGAAAGAACAGTCCCGCCCTGATGCTCTTATCACAGGTGAAAATATTTGCCTGCTTGTCCTCAGACAATCAAATGAGCACATGCTGACATTTAAACTTGTCTGTGAAGCTTTTCCTTTGTTTTATTAGGTATACATTTGATGGTATCTTAATTTTATTTTCCATATGTTGTTATTTTAGGTCTAGCATCCATGTGACTATATCAATAAAACAGATTTTTTTTTACATTATTTCCTTACAGATCAGGAGATTTTGAGACGGCTGGAAAAGGATAAGCTTCTTGTTTTCACACCCTCACGTCGTGTCCAGGGCCGCAGAGTAGTCTGCTATGATGACAGGTTTATTGTTAAGTTAGCTTATGAATCAGATGGCATCATTGTTTCCAATGACAACTACAGAGACTTGGCTGTTGAGAAACCGGAGTGGAAGAAGTTTGTTGATGAACGCCTTCTGATGTACTCCTTTGTAAATGATAAGTAAGTCTGTTGAACCTGGAATTTTGAGGTATAAATATTTGTGGGATTTAAATTTTAAGTTTGCTTTTTTGCCATTTATAAAAATTAGAAAATTAATCTTGGAAAAAAATCTCCCAGGTTTATGCCTCCTGATGATCCATTGGGTCGTCATGGGCCAAGTCTGGAGAATTTTCTAAGAAAAATACCCATAATTCCAGAGCATAAGAAACAGCCCTGTCCATACGGTAAGTGTTGACCCATATTTGATACTGTTTTACAGTTGCCTGAAATTGAACTACTATCAACTATTTACTGTATGTATATAGCCAAGCTATCACTCACTTGAAGCAAATTAATTACATTACTCTTATCAGCTGATTGCTACAATTAAATTAAATTAAATTAAATTAAATTAAATTGCTATAATGCTTCCAACTAATCTTATTCTATTTTTCTTTCTACCAGCCAATGATGATTCTGAAAGAAAAAGCGCACAGTTTGTTATAGTAACAAATAGGCCTACAACTTTCAAGCGCATTGGATTGACAGATAAAGCATACGCTCTTATTTCAGCATTCCTGTTAATGTTGTGGTTATTTTAGTAGATAGTTTGCTTCATACATTCAGTTCAACAGCATTTAAAATTTTAAAGTTTTAGAGGGTAAACTTTATCACTCAACTGCATGCAACACATGCATTTTAGATACTTAGGTGTTCTTGCTCCATCCAAGAAATAAATGCACATCCTTAAATGAGCACTATAGGGTATTTATTTTAAAGTCCATCTGTAGTCAATAATTGTATCCCTTAAATTAATCTTTGATCACCAAAATGACATATTTAAAGTTTTTTTCCTGTGAACGAAAAATTATTCATGCTTTAAAATAGCTTGAATGTCACTCTACACCCTTGCTTCATTTAGCATATGCAGAACCATGAATATGCTAATTAGCCCCGCCTCCAGGCACTCACGCCATCTCAGAGATTCATTTGGCCAACTTACTGAGGTAAACGCTGCACAATGGTATCGCTCTTTACAGTGTCTGGCACATAACAGTAATTAATATGATTAGCCTTTTGTTTGACTATGTTATCAAACAGCTAGTAATGTGTTGCTAATGTTACACAAACTATGTTCCCGTTCACATCTCAGAGTCAGACAGCTGCCTTCTAAAAATCACCAGAAACGCTTTGAACAACTCAGAACGTCAGTGGAGAAAGGCATATAGTTCATCATAACATCATAATATACATCATACACCTGCTATATTGCTAAATCTACCCAATTTTTCATATCAACAGACAAATATACTGGCATAACCTGGCTTTTCTCGAGACTCCTCTGCTAGTTTGCAGTTAATGAAATAGACCGCCGGCAAGTTGACGTGATTGGTTATAAGGCAGTTTGTGACATCAGAAACCCCAGCGATTTCAAACCGTGTTTTTGAGACACCCTGCTTGCGCTGACATCAGACGTCATCAGCGCATTTCATGCTATGTAGAGCTAGACAGAAGTCAGTCCCTGAACACCGCAACTGAAACAGCAGCCACCTTTTACAGTTCCTCCTGAATCAAAAACAATGATCTTTTGCCGCTTTCACCCCATAACTTCCGTAATTTCGAAACCAAATCATCTTCAAAGACAGTTTATCAAGGCAGCCTTACATAGGGCCAAACACTTGATTTCACTGTCTAACTGGAGGCCTCAGCAGAACAACTCTTTATAATGAGAGGAGGCCAACCACATTAAAGACAGTTTATCAAGGCGGCCTCAAAGAGGGCCAAACACTTGATATCACTATCTAGCTGGAGCTCAGGTGAGCGAAGGCCTCAGCAGAGCGACTCCCTATAGCTAGAGGAGGCCAACCAGACTCAACCTTAAAGACAGTTTACCAAGGCGACCTCACATAGGGCAGAACACTTGATGTCACTGTCTGACTGGAGCTCAGATGAGTGGAGGCCTCAGCAGAACAACTCTCTATGTAAAAAGGAGGCCAGCCAAACTCAACCTTAAAGACAGTTTACCAAGGCGCCTCAGAGAAGGCTGAACACCTGATGTCGCTGTCAAACTGGCTTTCAGGTGAGCGGAGGCCACAGCAGAACGATCCTCAGATAAGCTCCTCTCCACCAATAAGCTGGTGTGGTGGGGGTTCTGGCGCAACATGGCTGCCGTCGCATCATCCAGGTGGATGCTGCACATTGGTGGTGGTTGAGGAGATTCCCCCTTCCATATGTAAAGCGCTTTGAGTGCCCAGAAAAGCGCTATATAAATGTAACAAATTATTATTATTATAATGAATTATTATTATTATTATGAAGAGAGGAGGCCAGCCATACTAAACCTAAAAGACAGTTTACCAAGGTGGCCTAGAAAGGGTAAATCACTTGATGTAACTGTCTGGCTGGAGCTCAGGTGAGTGGAGGCCTCAGCAGAAAAATTTTCAGATCGAGAGGAGGTCAAACTACACTCATTCTTAAAGACAATCAGGTTAATGGAGGCCTCAGCCGAACGTCTCTCTATAACAAGAGGCGGGCAACCAGACTCATCCTTAAAGACAGCCTATCAAGGCGGCTTCACAGAGGGCTGAACACTTGATGTCACTGCCTGACTGGAGCTAGATGAGAGGAGGCCACAGCAGAGTAATCCTCAGATCGAGAGGAGGCCAAAGGTATCTTATCACAGCGGCCAGCAGAGTGCCAACACACTTGATGCCATTGTCTAGATGGAGCGAGGCCAAACTCTTCAAAACGCTGTAATTTAAAATCTTATAATTAATCAGAATTAGATATATCAAATTAACCAGAGCAGTACCAGAGGTAGAAAGAGGAGCTTAAACAAAAATATTCCTGTTCGACTCTGACCCGAGCTGCAGAGAGTAGGTGCTTAACTCTCATCCTCTCAAGAGAGAGTCAGGCCTGGCTGGAGCAAATCACAGCGACCCACAAATCACACAGCCCACAAACGCGCATTTAATCCACTCGGGAGTTAAGCGTGCTAAATTCAAATGCCAGATTCTGTAACTCTGAAAGAATCATGTGAGAACAGCCACGAATGCATTGCTTCAACTCCCCACTGAGCAAGCGACGTCTGTGGACATACAAAACAGGTTGATATCACGTCCGTCCGTCCAGGCCATAATCTGAACGTCCATTGACATCCAGAATTAGTTGATTAATGACAATGAGAAATTATGTCCAATCTGGCTATAATCTAAACGTCCACTGACAGCCAGAACTAGTTGAGAAAAGACGTTCATACTGGCTATAATCTGAACGTCCGGTGACATCCAGAATTAGTCGATGAATGACTTAAAAAAATATGTCCAATCTGGCCATAATCTAAACGTCCACTGACAGCCAGAACTAGTTGAGAAAAGACGTTCATACTGACTATAATCTGGACGTCCGTTGACATCCAGAAATAGTCCATAAATGACGTGAATAAAGATATCCAATCTGGCCATTATCTTAATGTCCACTGACAGCCAGAACTAGTTGAGAAAAGACGTTCATACTGACTATAATCTGGACGTCCGTTGACATCCAGAAATGGTCCATAAATGACGTGAATAAAGATGTCCAATCTGGCCATTATCTAAACGTCCACTGACAGCCAGAACTAGTTGAGAAAAGACATTCATACTGACTATAATCTGGACGTCCGTTGACATCCAGAAATGGTCCATAAATTACGTGAATAAAGATGTCCAATCTGGCCATTATCTAAACGTCCACTGACAGCCAGAACTAGTTGAGAAAAGACGTTCATACTGACTATAATCTGGACGTCCGTTGACATCCAGAAATAGTCCAGAAATGACGTGAATAAAGATGTCCAATCTGGCCATTATCTAAACGTCCACTGACAGCCAGAACTAGTTGAGAAAAGACATTCATACTGACTATAATCTGGACGTCCGTTGACATCCAGAAATGGTCCATAAATGACGTGAATAAAGATGTCCAATCTGGCCATTATCTAAACGTCCACTGACAGCCAGAACTAGTTGAGAAAAGACATTCATACAGACTATAATCTGGACGTCCGTTGACATCCAGAAATGGTCCATAAATGACGTGAATAAAGATGTCCAATCTGGCCATTATCTAAACGTCCACTGACAGCCAGAACTAGGTGAGAAAAGACGTTCATACTGACTATAATCTGGACGTCCGTTGACATCCAGAAATGGTCCATAAATGACGTGAATAAAGATGTCCAATCTGGCCACAATCTAAACGTCCACTGACAGCCAGAACTAGTTGAGAAAAGACGTTCATACTGACTATAATCTGGACGTCCGTTGACATCCAGAAATAGTCCATAAATGACGTGAATAAAGATGTCCAATCTGGCCATTATCTAAACGTCCACTGACAGCCAGAACTAGTTGAGAAAAGACATTCATACTGACTATAATCTGGACGTCCGTTGACATCCAGAAATGGTCCATAAATGACGTGAATAAAGATGTCCAATCTGGCCATTATCTAAACGTCCACTGACAGCCAGAACTAGTTGAGAAAAGACGTTCATACTGACTATAATCTGGACGTCCGTTGACATCCAGAAACAGTCAATAAATTACGTAAATAAAAGATGTCCAATCTGGCCATTATCTAAACGTCCACTGACAGCCAGAACTAGTTCAGAACAGATGTTCATACTGCACTGTAAAAAAAATATCCTAATTTTACAGTAAATAACTTCCTATTTTCATCATTGTGGTGGCGTTCATGTGTGTTCAATTCGTAAATACGATCTTTATGACATGTCTTGAATGCATCAATAGCTCTATTTTAGGGACAATCCTTACAAACAATCATTGCTAAAATACATTACAGACTGTCACAGTGAGAAGATCTTTGTCCTTTATCAATGCTAAAGACCTAACCACTGCAGTCAACACCTTGGAGTATCCATGCTGTTAAATAAAAGTCTGTAGACAAGGGTTAAGGTTAGGGTTAACCCCTTAATTTCTAACCCCCGGTTTCACAGACAGGGTTTAGATATAAAGCCAGGATTAGGCCTTAGTTAAATTTGGGCATTCAATTATAGCTTTTAAAAATGTACCTTAGAAGAAAAAAACATTACTGGTGTGCATCTTGAGACAAAACAATGGCACTGACATAAGATATGTCAGTATAGCCTACAAGTTGCTTTCAGGTAATACAGCTCAAACGTGCATTTTAGTCTGGACTACAGGCTTAAAGGAGAACTCCGGCGCAAAATGAACCTCGGGTG